TAACCCAACTAAAAAAAATGGAGTACAGAGCTAAACAGAGAATTCTTAATGGAGGAACACTGAATGGCAGAGAAAGACTTAAAGAAATGCTCAACATCCTTAGTCATCAGGGAAATACAAATCAAAATGACCCTGAGATTTCACCTTACACCCATCAGAATGGCTAAGATCAATAACTCAAGTGACAACACATGCTGGAGAGGATGTGGAGAAAGAGGAACCGTCCTCCACTGCTGGTGGGAATGTAAACTTGTACAATCACTTTGGAAATCAATCTGGCTCTTTCTCAGACAATTAGGAACAGTGCTACCCCAAAATCCAGCTATCCCACTCCTAGGCATATATCCAAAAGATGCTCAAGTATACAACAAGGACATTTGATCAACCATGTTCAGAGCAGCTTTATTTGTAATAGTCAGAAGCTGGAAACAACCCAGATGTCCCTCAGTTGAGGAATGGATACAGAAATTGTGGTACATATACACAATGGAATACTACTCAGCAATTAAAAACAAGGAAATCATGAAATTTTCAGGCAAATGGTGGGATGTAGAAAAGATCATCCTGAATGAGGTATCCCAGAAGCAGAAAAACACACATGGTATATAACCACTTATAAGTGGATATTAGACACATAATACAGGATACTCACACTAAAATCTAAGGAGGACCCCAGGTAAAATGCTCAATCTTCATTCGAAAAGGCAAATGAGATGGGCATCAGAAGAGAGAGAAAACAGGGAACAGTACAGGAGCCTATCACAGAAGGCTTCTGAAAGACTCTACCCAGCAGAGTATTAAAGCAGATTCTGAGACTCATAGCCAAACTTTGGGCAGAGTGCAGGGAATCTTATGAAAGAGAGAGGAGATAGAAAGACCGGGAGAGAACAGAAGCTCCACAAGGAGAGCAACAGAACCAAAAAATCTGGGCACAGGGGTCTTTTGTGAGACTGATACTCCAAACAAGGACTATTCATGGAGATAACCTAGAACCCCTGCACAGATGTAGCCCATGGCAGCTCAGTGTCCAAGAGGGTTCCCCAATAATAGGAACAGGGACCATCTCTGACATGAACTCATGAGCTGGCTTTTTTATCACCTCCACCAGATTGGGGATAAGCCTTACCAGGCCACAGAGGAAGACAATGCAGCCAGTCCTGATGAGACCTGATTTATTAGGGTCAGATGGAAGGGGAGGAGGACCTCCTCTATCATTGGACTGGGGGAGGAGCATAGGAGAAGAAGAGGGGAAAGGGTGAGATTGGGAGGGAATGGGGGAGGGGGCTACAGCTGGAATACAAAGTGAATAAACTGTAATTAATAAAAATAAAATAAAAAATTAAAAAATAAAATAAATGAATAAAAAATTCTAACACAATTCTTTATAGACCTTGAAAAAGCAATTCTCAACTTCATATGGAAAAATTAAAAACCCAGGATAGCTAAAACCATCCGGTACAGACATAAATGGTATGTACTCACTTATAAGTATAAAGTACAGGATATCCATGCTACAATCCACAGACCCAAAGAAGCTAAGTAACAAGAAGGGTCCAAGGGAGGTTGCTTGAATCTCACTCAGAGGGGAAATAAAACATCTGAATTAGATGGAGGGAGGGAACTGGGTGGAAAAGAGAGTTGAGAGAGGAAGGGGATGCGGATCAGGTGTGGGAAAAGGGGGGAGGCTTGGAGAGAGAATGAAAATTGGTGTTGGGAGGGAACATATGCTATGGAGAAAGCTCTCAGGAGTCTATGGAAGTGACCCTAGCTGAGACTCTTAGCAGCAGAGGATATAGAACCTCAAGTGTCCACCCCCTTTAGCCAGGTAGGACTTCTAGTGGAAGGAAAGGGACAACACCCCACCCATAAAATCTTCCACCCCAAATTTTTCCTTCCTACAAGAAGTGTAGGATAAAGATGGAGCAGAGAGAGAAGGAATGGCCAACCAATGACTGTCCAACAAATGACCTGAGACCCACCCTATGAGAGAGAGTCAACCTCTGACACTATTAATGATACTCTGCTATGCTTGCAGACAGGAGCCTACCATAACTGTCTTCTGAGATGCTTTATCAAGAAGCTTATGGAAACAGATATGGAGACCAACAGCCAAACAATAGGCCAAGGATGGGGAGTTTTGTAGAAGAGGGAGGAATGATTGAGGGAGCCAGAGGAGTCAAGGACACAACAAGAAGACCTACAGAGTATACTAACTGGGGACGGTGAGAGCTCACAGAGACTGAACAACCAACCAAAGAGCAGGCATGGGCTGGGCCTAGGTTCCCTGCACATATATAGCAGATGTGCAGCGTGGTTATCATGGGGGTCCCCTAACAACTAGAGCAGAGGCTGTCTCTGACTCTGTTGTCTGCCTTTAGATCCCTTTCCCATAGCTAGACTGCCTTATCTGGCCTCAGTGGGAGAGGAAGAACTTAGTCCTGCTGTGACTTGATGTGCCAGAGCATGTTGGTACCCGTGGCGGGGGGGGAGGGGGCTTCCCCTTCTCTGAAGAGAAGGGGAGAGAGGAATGAAAGAAGGAGGTGTGAGGGTGGGACTGGGAGGAGAGGAGAGAAGGGGCTGGGATCAGGCTGTAAAAATGATTAAATAAATAAATAAAATAAACCAGAGGCAGGGGCTCATGTCTCTAATTCCATCACTCAGAGGCTGAGGCTGGTGGGTTACTGAAAGTAAGGTTAGCTTGTGATACATAGCAAGTTCCCAGACAGTCATGGGCTGTGGAGTCAGACCCTGTCTCAAATTTCCTACCTAAATAAGGAGATGTAATAAGACAAGATTGTTCTTCTGTTTTCTAAAACAAAACAAAAAAACTATTCCTTGAAAGCTTGACCTGTTCCATGAGCCACCTGATCATGTGGTGTCAAGTGAATACTTTGAAGATATTATACTTGCAATTTTACTGTTTTATCACTTTACTCAGTTATTTTCTTATTAATGTGTTTTGCTAAACTCCTTTCTCACCTACCACCAGTCTCTCCTGACCCTAGTGTTTAACTCTGCAAGCATACATTACTCTGTACTACTCAGGCTGGAGAGATGGCTCAGAGGTTCAATCCCCAACAACCACATGGTGGCTCACATCCACCTATAATGTGATCTGATGCCTTCTTCTGGCCTGTAGGCAGAGCACTGTATACATAATATTTTAATCAGTACTACTCAAGTGCCTTAAAATCCTGTGCCATTTTCCTGAGTTTGGTAAATTTATGCCTTCTGTGTTTCTCCAGGTCTTATAAGTAGCATATATATTTTAGAATCATAAAAGAAAAAGCTATGGATAATCCCTTTTGAGGGGTTTTGTTTGCACATTTCACTGATTTATTTCCCCATCATTCTCAGAACCTTGTCTTGTTTCAATGAGTTACTATGTAGCTCGTTTCTAATTCTTGCTGCAGTAGCTTAGCTCATGGGCTTCTGGCCACTCATGCCTCACTGATTAATTGAAAAGTCAGTATTCCACTATACACACATCAATTTTGCTGACGAAGTATAATTTTAGAGTTGTTATAAAAACTCATTATTAATTGTTTCATAAATTCTCAGTTGATGTTATTTTAACTAAAAGATTATTAACATACTATGTTAATATGTTTTCACATTTGTGGGCTATTAAACTATCAATTATTATTAATGTATTTGCTATTACATTATGCTAATACTGCCTATCTATAAGTAGTTTGGTTTTTATTGAGGGGTCCATTAATTTTTTAATCACAAAATATTTATCTTTTAAAAAACAATTACTTCAGTTTTGCACATGCCTGCACATGAGCGCCAGTTCCTTGAGGGGCCAGAGAATGTGCAATCTCTGGAGCTGAAGTTGTAGCAGATTGTGAGCCACCCTGTATGGGTTCTGGGAACCAAATGTGTCCTTTCCAAAAGCAACAAACATTCTTAACATATATCTGCATCCCCCAAATCTATGTTTTAAAATATCCTAAGTGGACTAGGGGAATGCCTGAGTGAATAAAGTTCTTCTGAAAGTGAGAGGACCTGAATTCAAATCTCAAGAAACCCTTTAAAGCTACATGTGGTAGCTGTATCTATCATCCAGTGCTCTTGTGGCAAGACAGGAGCTATAGGCAGGAACATCCCAAGAGAAGCTCTGGGCCAGCTAATCTGTGTATGAACAGTAGCAAACAAAGAGACCCTCTTACAAATAAGATAGAAAGCAAGGTCCTCCACCAAAGGCTGTCCTCTGGCTCTCCATGGTGTGCCTTGACAGGTGTTCTTCCACACATGAGTGCTCACAGGCACACACATGGAAGTCATAAAATATCCTGTGCATGCCAAGACCAAGGCACTATAATAAAAATTTTCAAATCCCCAAAATTATTCTTATTTTGCTCCTGAGACACAACCATTTCCAGGAAGCATACATTGAATATTTCAAATGGATTACTGACTTACACTTTTCTTCTACACCATTCTAATAGCCTTTCTTTCTTTTCTTTTCTTTTCTTTCTTTTTTTCTCTTTCTTTTTTCTCTTTCTCTCTTTCTTTTTTTTATTGAATTGGATAGTTTGGTGTCTCCATGATAGTTGTGAGTTGTGACCACAGCTTCTTGATTCATTCTTTTTATTTTTATACGTCTGTAATGATTTCTAAGTAGTGGGATGTTAAACATCACCACAGTTATGCCCCAGTCCCTGTTTACATTCTATGATAAGTTCTTCACTTTCACTTATATTTATGTACTCATCCTATGTGCCTCTGTACATGGGTGTGCAGGTGTACTTGTTCGTACTTGTGTAAGAGGAGGCCGGAGTTAGTTTGGGGTTTCTTCCTCAGTCACTTTCTACCTTATATTTTTGAGACAGAGTCTCTCAGTAAATCTAGAACTTTCTATTTTTCTTAGGCTAACTGGCCAGTGATACCTGCTCATCTCAACCTTCCAGGCTGTAGTTACATATGTACATTTTATCCAGAGCCATCTTCCTAGCTAGCCTCAAGTAATTCATTCTCTTTTTCAGTTAACATACCTGCTGTGGTGTGCTAGAACTTTCTTCTGTAGTGGGTATAGACACAACATCTTCTTCCAGCAGAGGCAGACCTGCTTCTGCTGCCACAATTCCAGGTCTTCCCTTAAAAGATTTCTGACTTGTTTGGGCAGCTTTTTTCTTGGTTATCACCTCTGTTTCTTTCTTAGTTGAAGAATGAGATAGGAGAATTTGCTTGCTAGCTAAAAAGGAGAAATATTATGTTAGTATATTTGATATGCTCTGGTATTACTGATTAAATGGGCTACATATATCCCTATTATATTACTTATAGAATATAGCATACTTAAAAGGACATTCTTATTTTAAGAAGATAAAATAAATAAAAAAACAAGACTAGATTCTTTCAAATCTTTTGGTTTTAGAGAAATTTATTAAGAAACTTCATGCAGGGCTAGAGAGATGGCCCATCCTTTAAGAGCACATGCTTTACTGAACAGGATCCTGATTTAGTTCACAGCATCCAAATGGTACGTTAAAGCCACCAGTGGACCCAGTTCCAAAAGATCCAACTCCTTCTTCTGAGCTCTGTGGGACCAGCCATGCACATGGTGCCTACTCATACATGTAGAAGAATACTAATAGACATACACAAAAATGAATCTCTAAAAAACAGCAGGCTCCTGTATAAGAAATAAAATTTCTCAACATGCAGTCTTTAAAGGAGAATCTTAACCGATCTATTGTTTGTGAAATCTACTAAGACAAATAATTACAATAGCATCACTGGGGTCAAATCCAATGTTTGTCAAGTGTCAATGTTTGATTTATATTTTAATTATGTTGAATGTCACAGCACTACAAGGATTTGTTTATAAATGCAGTTGATTCCCCAGACAGGTACTTACACTGGGAGCTCAATGCTCTTTCACTTCCAAGGAAGTAAAAGGCAGGAATGATGGCTTGCCCTTTGCCGATGGTGCTCACCATGACCTCCTCGCTTTCCAGTACTTGCAGCTTGATGAAGGCGTCGGGTTTGGATGTGCGAACTTGTACTGTAATGCACTGTGCCACTGTCACTTTAACAGAGTACCTATTGTGAGAAAGGTTGAGCTTGATGAGCACACTGATCTGTCCCTCGAGTCGGTAAAGGAAATGGTGTGATTTTCTTATTTGAACATCTGACAGTAAAACAGCTTTGTAAGGCCTGTGACATGCTAAAATGTTACTGCAGTTACTGCAGACTTTGACAAAGGACCCAAATATCACACAGTCAAAAAAAAAAAAAAACCAGTAATATATGTTTCCATCATTAGAAAATTCTATATCTAGTAGTTCTTTTCTATATCTAGTAATTCTTCACAAATGCCCAGGACCTGATATGTATGTTTAGTTTCCCTGAGCAAATGCAAATACAACAAGAAGCAAATCGACAAAGTCCATCACGTTGTTCTCCAGAGCGAACTGACCTGCCTTCCACAGGCCCCCTTTCCTTTTGCTTTTCTCACTGATTCATCTGCCATTCACTTGTGCAGCACTAACCCAGAATTTTGGTCTGCACTGGCCAGGATTCCAACGAGTGTGTACCTCCTATATGGAAACTTTTATCTTCTGATCTCAAGGGGGGAGTCCAGCAAGGTTAAAGAAACCTTTGGTAGCTTGTCTTTAGACACCTGTCACCTCTGAGTACAGCAACTTCATTCTGTCCCTTCTCTTTGGGTTTGCTTTCTCAGGCCTCTCTGTCATTGATATCCCAAACATGTCAGAAAAGCAATGCTCTGTTCTCATTCATAGATTGAAAACAACATTCATTCTATAGTTTTCTGGGCTCTCCATAAACTCAAGCAGAATCAAGGTTCCTAAATGGAAGCCTCAAGCTCAGCTCTCTCTCTAAAGGTCACGTGGATGTTACTGATATTTGCAAGCAAGAACTCTCTTCCTACTGACCATCTTACAAATTATCTTCTGCCCTGTATCTTCACCTAAAGTAAAGGATGTCATTCAGACATTTCCCAAGGCAAGGCCAATCAGCCAAGGCTATCAATTTTTCCACAGTGTTTTGAAATGTTTTCTCTCCAAATTCAGGCACCTGTTTATGGTTGGTAGAATTTTATCTCTTCTTCTTACAAAAACTATGTTGGAGAACTCACAAGGTCAACTTATGTGGAGATAATTTTTCTCAGGAAAAGTTAAAGGATGAGGCCAAATCAACATGGCTGGTAGCCTTAGAATAAAAAGGTTGGATTTAGAAACAGCCACACAATGCAACACCATATAAAGATGAAAATGGAGATTTCAGTGTTGTACCACAAGCTGAAGAACACCAGCAAAGAATGCCAAGAAGTAGTCAAAAAATAGATTAGTTCCAGAATGCCCTGGAGACACCTGCCCTGGTGACAATGTGATTCCGGAGGGTGGGATGAAATGTTTTTGCCATTCAGCCATTTAGTGTTGTGTCAAGACCTTGACAGGGCAGCTATTGCAGACCAATGGACTGAAGTGGTTCCTGATGCCAGAGCTACCTTATAGCTGTCTGTCTATCCCTCTACTCTCTCCATTCCATTTCACTCAGGTCAACATCTGGAAGCCATCTGAATGATATGTTAATATTGTACATCTTGAATAATTAAGTAGAATTTCATGATGGTATGGTTACAGCTTTTGTCTTAGAAATTACACTGATTTTTTTTCAAACCCATGTATCATACACATTTTTTAACACAAGTCCAATAATGTCAGTTTCCTTAAAACATTTTTTTTGTGTGTGGTTGTTTGAGACAGGGTTTCTCTGTGTAGCCTTGGTTGTACTGGACTCTCCTTGTAGACCAGGCTGGACTTGAACCCATAGAGCTCCAACTGCCTCTGCCTCCCCAATTGCTGGGTCCTTAAAACTCTTTAAAGCATTCTGTTGCTATTAAGGTAAAAATCTGTACTTCCTGGTGTTAGGAGCTCCTTCCAGAACAGGTTTTACAGAGGGATCTCTTTATCCTGCTTGCTCTGCATTGCTTCCTGGAAATGGACTCTGCAAAGAAATTGCCTTCATTTCCAGAACATGCTGAGAACGTTCATAGTCCTCCAGCAGCCTCCTCCCCACCTTCTTCACCTCTCTGCTCCACAGATTTGTGAACAACTTCTGGGTCTCAGTTAGTGATAAAGTTGAATGCCAGCTTTTAGTCTGTAAGTGCCCTCAGTATGACTCTGAGGTTTCTGGTCACACAGGTAAACAAATTAACCATTCCAGTTTTAGTTTTGCTTTCTTTTTTTCTAATTTCCCTTTTTATGCAGGCAAGGATGAAAATACATTACATGAAGACAAATCTACAACTTAAATGCCTGCAGTTTGGTGTATTTTCATATATAAGGTTCTTTATGTTTTTAATCTAGGTATAAAATATGTTGATGCATATTCTATGATTGAATGTTATGAATTATTTAGTTTTAATTTAATTTTTTGCATTTTTAAGGGGAAAATTTTTGGTATTGACTAAGAATTATATGGAAGAAATCAGGCAGAGTATATTACTTGTCAAATTTTTTCATAAACACTTAGTTTTTCCTTCTGAAAACCAATTCACTAATGTGTGGTGCCTTGAAAAACATATCATCTCTTCAACGTAATAAGGCCCTAGAAAAATAGGGTACTCTTTTTTACTAGGCACCATAGACCATGCCCATCATGGTTTTAACAGTAAGAAGCAGCCTTTAACTAAGCAAGTGGCTGTATATTTATATGAGTGACTATGGGCAATCATAAAGCATCTAACAACGTCTTGATGTTGTTAATAAATGATCAGTACATACATGAAATGTCAGAACCACTCATTGTTACTATTTTGAAAGTGGTAAACTATAACTACAAAGAAATGACCTAAGAAACAGCAGCAAAGTGCTAAGGTTGTTTGTTGATTGATTATGAATGGCATTCATATAGTCAATGTTGTTGTTTGTTTTGTTTTTTTTTTCTCTAAAATCAGGTAGAACATTGTGTATTATAAAGAGAAGGTATTTAATGTAAGCCAGTTATGCACTGGCCACTGTGATAGTTCCCATGTTGAAAGGACACATATTTAGCCTTCCATTTACATTCATTATCACAAAGGCTGATGTACAGATAATCAACTAAAATGTATACATCACATAAAATATTTACAATAGGAATGGTATCTGGAGCAACTATTTATATTTGTGAATTTCAATGCAAAGGATTTATATTTTGAAAATTATCATTAAGTGGCAAAATGAGGATAAAATATCACAAAATAAGTAAGTGCTAGGAAAATAAATTGCACAACTTACATTTCTGGAGGAGGCAACTCTAGAGGTTGGTGGCCGGGCAATGACAATAAACATTAGATTCTGCAGCTTGAGTTTTACTCCACAGTCAACAGAAAGCTAACACACATTTTACAACACATGTATAAATATTTATGTTAGAAAGGTAACTAACTACCTTGATAGTAAAGGATAGACCTGTAAATTAAGAAGGTGGTGTACCAGTGCAATATTTTAAAAGAAATAAATATAATGGAGTCTCAATTCCCAAAGCAACAGTTTTACACAACAAACATAATGAAGACCCTAAAGTGACGCAGGAACATTGAGAAGAGACAAGGAGAACACACAAAAGGGTTGTATATCAGAATCAGAATCGAAAGCCAGGCATGGTGCACACACACCTTTCATCCCAGCACTTGAAAGGCAGAAACAGGTGGATCTCTGTTAGTTTGAGGCCAGCCTGATAGTGAGTTCCAGGACAGCCAGGACTGTATAGAGAGGAATGGCTCAAGCAAGCAAACAGAATTAGATTCTACTAAAGCAATTAATGAAAGAAAGTGGAATCAGTACTAAGACAATTCAAGGGGGGTGAACAGATGGGCACGAAGGTTGAGGTGACAAACAAGGACTGCCCCACCAGAGGGTAGCTACATATAGTACAGATCAAAGTGAAGATCAAGTAGCTATTAGAGGACCTGGAAGAATCTTTAGTGAAAGTCAGGCAAAAAATGAAGCCTAAGAAATGGTATTAGTGGGGGAGAATTCAAAATGGTGGTTCTGATCACACATTGTGTTTGATCAGCAGGGCAGTAGTGAGTACACAGCAACCAACAGACTGATCTGTGGACCCCGAAATACCAGTGACTGTGTTCCTCAGGTTAGAGGAAAGCCCATGATGAGGAAAACAATCTTGACCAACCTCAAGTCACTCAACAAACCCCCAGAAAAGTTCCTGGGTTCCTACAGGTACTCAGTCTCCAGCACCTAGCCACACACTTGTGTGCTGTGCTTACCATCCCAGACTAAACTGTGGGCCCCAAACACCAAAGACTGGGTCTCCCAGTTGTGAGGAAAACATACAGTGAGGGAAACGATCAGTTCTGATCTCAGGACACCCAGTTAATCCTCAGAAAAAATCCTGGGTTCCCATAAGCAAGGGGTCTTTAGCCTCTAGCCACACACCTGTGTACTGTGCTCATGAGCCAGTGAATACCTTCTGAGTACTGGGGCATTGAGAGCCAACCTCAGACCTAACGATGCCTGGGAGCCACAGGAACAGCCCCATACACTGCTCCAAAACTCAACCTGTCTCCCTTGGGAGACTGACCAAATCTCTGGGCTCAATGGTTCTTCAAGATGGCTGTTCCCAGCAAACACAGCAGCTGAGCACAGTGTTCATGCAGCAACAGCTCATTAATTCAGAGCAAGAAAGCCAGTGGCAGGACAGCTGTCTCCAGGACTTCCCATGGTGAGAGGAGAGCCTCTGGTCTTCTGAGGAGTCCAGTTAGCCCACATGATCATACACCTGAGAAGAGCTTCAGCAATTCTCTGAGAATCACCCGACAGTCAGAGACCATAACCACCAATGTGAAGAGGGCTCCAGCAGGAACAACCAGTTTCCTTCCCAAGAGATCCCTGAACCACTCTCTGACCCCCAGGACTCAGCAGGCACCAGAAATTACCAGCCATTGACTGAGGGCCAGATGGGAAAAAGCCAGCATGAAAACACAATCAACAAAAGCCAAAGCAATATGGCATCTCTAGAACTCAGTTGTCCAAGGGCAAGCAGCCCTGGATACCCTAACACAAGAGAAACTC